ACACACACACACACACACACACACACACACACACACACACACCCTCCCTACACACCCACACACAATCTATTGTAGGAAAAAAGGAAATACAGGTGAGCAGAACCTGGCACTGTGTGTTTGCAGGCATTAGCAGCTGCCCCAGCTGCACGTCTGCCCCTTTCTGAGGCAAGTCTGACCCACTCACCCTTCCCTCTCTACTGGGACAAGGGACCATCTAATCAAGTGAAAATCCCAAAAGGTGTCTTAAGACCTCTCTGTGGCTGGTAGAGGGGGTTGCCACAGAGGGATTGCTTCAGCAAGTTCAAAGGTCCCAGATGTAGCCCAGATGTGGCAGATGTTCTGTGAATATTTGAGGAGCTAAATGGAGGCAGTGGGGACGTCCACAGCTGTCCCCAGAACGGGGGCAGAACGCAGACAGCAGACGTGGGAGAGCAGGGGGATGAGCATGTATGTACACAGAGCCTGCAGGCAGCATGGCTGAGTCGTGTGCACCGGGCAACGGGGTTATCTTTCTGCACGACAGCTGCCCCTGGACTTCAGGCTCTCTTGTTTAGCTATTGTACAGGACCTGGCTTTCTCCTAGCCCAGCAGGGAAGGGGAAGAAAGGGCTAAGCCTTTGTGTCCTGGTATTAGGAAGCAGCACCGGCTCTGAGGCAGCTGCTCTGGGCAGATGCTTTTCGTGGCTCCTAAGAGGCGACCAGACCCGTTCACTCCCCACACGAGGTGAAGAACCAGGTAGAGCTGGGTAGGAGGCCCAGGGGGCAGACTGGGGGTGACGGCAGCCTTCTTTGTTCTTCTAAGCCCGGCTTATCCGCTATGGGAAATGAAGATTTCCTGAACGTTGAAGACATCCATATTCCAGAAGACATCCATATTCCAACGAAAACACAACACATTTCAGAGGCAAGTAGAAACTGTTATCAGTTGTCATGAATTATTCATGATGCCACTCCTTTCCATAGGAGGAGAAAAGAACAGTTAACTGGTTTGGGCAGGTATTGGAGCAATTGCTTTGGGTCTGTAAGATCCACCCTTCATGACAGGCTCTACCTGAGCTCTCTCCAGGAAGGCTGGTGGCAGAAAGACCCCCTTTGTGATGATGAAGCCCAAAGGGCTCCTGTGCAGACCCCACCTGCCTTGGGCCAGCACAAGGCTGACCTCCAGTGGAGCCCAGAGAGGAGGATGGCGTCTTAGGGGGAAACAGGCCCTTGCCATGAGCTTTAAACTGACACTTGCAGACCGGATTGGGTCTTAATTTAATGTCTTCAGTACCTGAACACTGTATAACAACTACTTATGGGAGACACAAAGAAACAGAATACAGTAAAACCTTGGTTTGCAAGCATAATTTGTTCTGGAAACAAACTACTCATATTGCAAGACATCACTCGTTTACCAAGTTAAAATGTATTAGAAATGTTTGCTTGTCTTACAAGAACACTCGCAAACCAAATCACTTGCAAGCCAAGGTTTTACTATATATTTTCTGACCTTGAGAAATTTCAGTCTAGCTGGGGAGATGTTTTTAAGATATATTACATGACTTCAATCAGGATTCAAATCATCAAAGTATGAGATGTCACAAGGCAGTATATACAGTTTGGTGTGAAATGAATGCTTTAGCCCACGGAGTGTGACGGGCAAGCAAAGGGGAAGATGTCCCAGGGCCTGAGATGGCCTGGAAGCTTCCTGAGGGAGGTATGACTGAGCCAAGCCTAAAGGATGGGGAGAGGGAGGTCCAGGCAAGAGCCAAGGGCAGTAGAAATGACCCAGCACACGGGTGGGCACACCACATCTGGCCCACCACCTGTTTCTGTCCAGGCCATGAGCTAACAGTAGCTTCTACGTTTTTAAATGGCTAAAAACATAATATTTTATGGCAGGTGAAAACTATATAAAATTCAAAATACAGTGTCCATAAATAAAGTTTTATTGAAACACAGCTACACTTATTTGTTTGCAGATTGTCTGTGGCAGCACTGAGTAGTTACAACAAAGATTATATATTTACTCTCTGGCTCTTGAGAGAGAAAGTTTGCCAATCCTGGGCCTATAATATCAGAGGGGCAGTCAGTAGGCTCTTGCTGGAGGGAAGTTTGTGTATGAAGGAGCTTTGGGGAAGTAGGCAGTCATGGGGGCTCAGGCACCCATTATGAAGGGAATTTAATGCCCTGCTAAGGAATATGAATTCAGTCCTATAGGCAATGGATTGAAAGGATCACGTACGTGAATATACTTATATTATCTATATGTACATAAATCCAAAGGGTTTACAAGGATGTTCTGTAAAAAATGCCAGTCTTCTATCCTGATCCCAGGTATTCAGACAACTGCACAGAGGTATTCACTCACTCATTCTTAGGTATCCTTACAGCACAAGCATATACGAGCTTACATATATGTATATTCTCTCATTAAACACTCCCCAAAAATGGTGGCACACTATAAAAATACTGTTTCTGCACCATGCCTTTCACTTCTATATTTTAGTTTGTTTGTGTCGGTACCTTCTTAATGGCTGTGTGGAGTGGCTATATACTATCTTATTTACCCAGTGGCCAGATTTCTGACCCAGGAGAAGCTCAAGTGATAGTTTAGGAAGCTTTGTTGAGCAGAGGGTTCCAGGAGAACTAGAGGCAGGAAGGGAGGGCAGGCAGCTCATGAACAAACCTGGGAGCCTGGGGTGCAGGTGGCCTGGCATTCCAGCATGACCCAGAGCTCCAGGCTGCTCGAGGTCATAGTGTTGGGGACCCCTTACCCCCCAAAATTCCCTTGGGTGCTCATACCTTGGTGGGCGTGTCAGGGATGGAAGATGTGGGGGAACCAGGAAAGTTCAAGACGCACTTCTTCCCCAGGCAGCGACCATGTAATTCAACGTCCTCGTAAGGATTTTCCTTCATTGGTGGGTCTGTGGTTAAAGGTAACAGGTCAGGGCCTGGGAACGTTGAGAAGTTTTTCTCATCGGGTCAACCTAACATCCTGGCCTCTCCTGCAGGGATGTCTGATGCCTTGCTATCAGTCACCCGTCCTCTTGGTAACACACCCTGCTTGTCACTGGGGTGATTCCCCATCGACCCTGTTCTTAGACTAACTCCACTCTGGTTTCAGTGTTTTAGCCGATCGGAGTTTCCTGAATCGCTGCCTCAGTGACCAGTTCTGGGAAGGGCTCACGATCCCGCGTCTAAGCCAATCATGCATGGCATTCCTGGGCCCTGAAGGTGAGCGAGGGGTCTAACGTGGTCTAGTCAGAGTGAACCTCAGGTATTTGGCTGCGACTTGCAGGTCACAGGCTCTCCCTCCAGGGAGCTGATGGCAGCAGCCATCGTGGGGATCACGGGGCAACCTGCTGAGAGTGGAGCTAACCTGAGATATGAGGAACAAGGAAGAAAAAGCCTGGTCTGGTCACATGAGCAAAAAAACTCCCTTTGTTGTTTCAGCCAGGTTTCTGGTTCTCTGTAACTGAGAGCTTCCCTGTCGGGTATGCACTGCTAAGAGAAGTCCAGATCTCATACCCGCTTTGGCTTTGGGAAGCCTGCCAATTTGGCAGGAACCCATCTCCAGCAGCGTGGGCACAGAAATGCCAATAGTTTATGGTGCAATTCCAATAGCTCCGCTAAGTGCATGCCCTCCCTCCATGCTTGTGCTTCCGCCGACCATGGGTTTTTTTCTGGAAGTGACGAATACATGCATGTACATATGTGTGTACCTGCCCTACCTACCCCTTGCATGTGGACACATATGGGTTTCTCCCTTTTACCAGCTTGTTTCTTCCCCCACCCCCAACATCAGAGGCTGGTCTTAACTCACCGAATTTAAAGGCCAACAAACTGAACCTGAGCCCCACGTTCGGATCTGAGAGAATGCTTCAGAGCTGGGCTAAAGTTACTTTTTCCATTGGAGACGTTCACTTTCGTCTGAATTTGGATGCCCTGTTAACTGCCACCCACGCTCCTACAGTTTTATCGAGAATATGGTGGTCTTTAGTTTTCTGTCAGTCAGCAATCCCTAGCATTTACTGGGCATCAGTTATAAGCCAGGTACTTTACGTGTCATCTTCTCTAGGCCTCAAACAACACTGTAAGGTAGCTGCCATCATCCTTAGCACACAGATGAGAGAATTGGAGTTCAGAGACGTTAAGTCACCAACTCAATGCCACACAGCTAATGAGTAGCAGAGCCAAGATTCAATCATGGGTACTGAGGCTCCAGGTCTCAAATGCTGCACCACACAGCCTCCTTGGCTGTTTATCACCAGCCCTTTCTTTCCCCTGCAGCCCCACTTTCTTTCACATATTCCACCACGGGTCGCTCTTCCACTCCCTCATTGATGTGAGTACATGTATGCCTTCGAGTGTTTGTGTGTGCGGGCTGGGCAGGTTTCAGCCAGCCCCATGCCCTCCCCACTTTCTCACCGGCAGACTCACATCCGTACAGACACTTTGGCCTCTTACCTAGGATGTCTTCATAGACGTTCTCCTCTGATAAAGTGCGCGTGAGCCCCAGCTTAGTCTGTGCGTACCAGTCGACCCTGCTGTTCTCAGAAGAGGACTGCAGTAAGTCTTCAAACTCATAGGACTTTCTGGGTTGTGCCACGTGGGAGGAAAAAACCAAGAGCTTGAATCAAATTAGGCTGGTTCAGAGAGCATATGCCAAAAATGGTGGGGGGTTTTTTTGCAAAAATTTCTATTACTGAACTCAACTCTGGTGTTTGTAAGAAGGCGTAAAATCCTTAAATATGAGATGTGGCTTTTACTTGAAAGAATGTTTATGTTATTATGCCAAGTAAAGATAGCAAAGTGTATATATACACATACATATACATATACACATACACAAACAAATATATACTATTTACACATTTTATATATATATATATATATATATATATATATATATATATATATATATATATATATATATATATATATCAAGCCAACATACGCGTAGAAAATAAAAAGAAGGGAAGGAAGTGAAATGCATAGCTGTTATCTCAGGACTGAGGGCTGGCTCATGGCTTCTCTTCACTTGTACTTTCCTGGACTTTCAGATGTCCTACAGTGCTTGCGGAGCACACATTAATAATCAGAAAGGAGAAGGGATGGCCACTTCAGAGCAGACCAGAGGCCTGGGCACCCGCTCCTTTCTCTTACCTGAGTTATTATCAGAATGAAACCCAGAGGCCATGAGATGCCCCACTGCGCCCCTCAGGGATCTGTGCAAATGTGGACGGGTCTCCCCGTCTGGGGCCTGGCTCCTCTATGGCTGTCGACCACCTCCACTCCACCCTCGGTGCACATGGGTGGTCCCTGTTCTGATGGTGTTCATCACAATGAACAAACCCAGCTCCCTCTCTCTCTCTCTCTCTCTCTCTTAAACACACACACACACACACACACACACACACACACACTCACACACACACACACACACACTTGAGACTCTATGATTTTTGTAACTTTGCTGAACATTTGGAGGTCATGAGATGGGTCATATGTGAAGCACAGAAAACATCAGCTCCCTCACAGTTTCACTCCAGTTCCCCCGTTTTCTTCTCTCTTGCCTCATCCTTCTCTAGAGTAACCAGAATTTCCCATCCCCGATTGGAGTATTAGGTTGTCGGAAAAGTCATGACACATTTTTGCAACGAAAAACAGAAAAAATACATCACGACTTTTCCGACAACCCAGTAGAACAGCCGGCCCACTCAGGCTCTGGAGGCACACCTCCTACTCCCAAGCAGATGTGTCAGTTATTTCTGCTTGACACACTTGGTCCTCCCTTGAGTAGAATGACATGAGCACGCAGGACCCCCACACTGACTAGGGCACACCCTCTAGCTGGCTTTGACTCCATCCTGGCCCTTCCATCCTCCTCACAGGGGGTCACAGTCCTCCATGGCTCAGGAGTCATGGCTCTTGGTTTGTTCACACGTGTCTAGCACAGCATTATACACATGCTAGAGAGTAAACTGTAGCTGACTATGTAGACATGTCTAGTGTCTCTGTTTCTTCGCCCACTTCCACTCTCTCTCTGGCCCCTGGGGAAGGTGCCCCACTGGTGGCTGCAGGATTAAATGCACCTGGATACAGGTCTGGGATCCTTCATTCACAAGCCTTTTCACCTTAGATGGACCACTACACTGGGCTGAAACTCAGCGTCTTCGTTTATAAAATGGTAATTATCGCATAGGATTGTCCAAAGAGTAGAAAAGAGAATATTTATGAAGTCCTTAGCACCTGACAGGCACTCAACAGATGTTAGTTATTACTATTACTATCATGGTACATTTACTATTACTGCCATGGTACTGTTACTATTACTGCCGTGGTACTCTTACTATTACTGTTGTGGTACTGTTACTATTACTGCCGTGGTACTGTTACTATTACTGTCCTGGTACTGTTACTATTACTGTCCTGGTACTGTTACTATTACTGCCGTGGTACTATATGTATGTAGCAAATGCTTTACATCGAACAGTCACTGTGTGGGAGGCGCTGTGATCAGGGTTCCATAAATAAAAGTGACTAAAACAGGATTCCTGTCTCAAAGAGCTTACGTTTTAAGGAGGGAGACAGACATTCAGCCAGCCCCCACACAAACAGAATGATAAACGGGGTTAAGTTCAACGGTGGAAAAGAACAGGCTGCTGCAGGTGACGCTACTAAGGGGGGCTCAGTTTAGGTTACGGGTGCATCAGGGAAGGCCTCAATGAGGAAGTCATTCATTGAAGCTGAGACCTGAAGGATAAAAGACCTTAGTCAGAGGAACAGCATTCCAAGAAGAGGGAAGGGCACGTGTGAAGGTCCTGTGGCTACAGAGAACTTGGTGCCTTTGTGAAACCGACAGCCAGTCAGTGAGGCTAGCCCCCAGGGAACAACGGTGGAGTGTCGGGCAATGAGATGGCAGAACCCGGCAGAGGCTAGCTGCCTGCTTTCCAAGCCTTGGGGATTTCTTGCATTTTAAGTCTGGCCCTCTCTACTAGCTTCTTTCTCTTTCCTTAAACATGCACGGATTTCCTCTATCTTCAAGAACTTTCATTTGAAGCAATGACCCTTGTAGTTCTGCTATTTCTCACCTTTCCTGCCAACATTTCTACGTGGGGAGAGGGGAGGAGGGGCGGAGGCTGTCCTGACTGTCTCTGTATTAGTCGACCACAGTTCACCCGTTTTTCTTTCCTTTACCTCCTCAACCTGGTATCTGCACACATCCGTTTTCTTAAACTGTCCCCGCAAGGTCACTAGTGAGTTTCTGGTAAAACCTAACCACTTTCTTGCCCCGCGCCCCCTTTTTTTAAATGACTCTCCACTTTTCTTTACATGACACCTCTTAGTTTCTACAGAGTAAGGCAGCGGTGCTCAGTGTGATCCCATGGGACAGGGCGGGGGGTGGGGGTGGGGGAGCCATCTATTTGCAACCAGCCCCTGACAGGGTAAGTACAGAAACTGAGAGTAAATGTTTGGAAACTTTGTAAGCAATTTGACAGAACAATTTTTCTTAACTGAACCTTGTATATTGTTGTCTTTTCTCATTTCATTTCTCTGGCAATTCTTTTTTATTATATTTGATAACAGTAGTATTCGGCAAAGGATTAGAAACACAACACCCAGGCCCTCCGGAGGGTTTGGCAAGCCGGGTGCAATGCTGCCCTAACTGCATTTCCCCCTCAGACACCACTTCCTGTGGCATCAATGTCAGCTGCTGCCGCTGCTTCCTCTTTCTGGGCTGTGGGTATTTCCCCAGGCTTTTCCTCTTTGGCTCTAAAGGTTAACATCTCCAAATCTGAATTTATCACCCCTTACCTGCACCCTGCCCTCTCTCCTTTATGAACTTGAACTTACGGCAGGAGCACAAAGGAGGGCCAAGCCAGAAGCTTCCAGGCTATGTGTCTGTGGTTTGTCTACTGCCTTGAGTCAGGCCACGAGGCTGAGACTATCTATCATCCACGCACCACAGTCCCAGCTTAATAACAGAAGCTCAAGCCCAAAAGGTGGGGCTGCCCGTCCGAGCGCCCCTTCTACCTCCCCTTGAGGTGTCCTGCTAGGAGAGGGAGGATCTAGCTTCAGGGCTCTAGTAGATGGGGCCTGGGCGTGGGAAGCCAGCCTGGGCTGTTCTGTAAACCCACCCTGAACAATTCCTAGTCCAGGCTGCCACTAGCCCAGGCTGGCATTAGCCAGGCATCTGACTGGAGCCAGAGCGAGTATAACGGGCCTGGAGCGGGCCCCAACTCGGGTTTCCCCTGGTGAGCTAATCCGATGACGTTAGCTCGAGTCTGCAGCACGCACACTCCCTAGATTTGGTAGGGAAGATGCAAACTGTTCAATGAGACCACAGGCTCGTTGATTCAACACTGACTGGGTACCAACGAAGTGCTTTACTTGGATTAGCACATTTAGGCTTCACCACAACCTTGTGAAGAATTACTACTGTTAATACACATTTTATATATGAGAAAACAGAGGTGTAATGGGAGTAAATTGCTCAAGGTCACATTGGGAGAAAGTGCTGGACCAGGGAGCCTGGATGGAGACTGGTGCTCTGAACAACACAGCACTGGGCAGATGTGTAAGTTAGGCAACGCAGGGCGAAAGCTGCAGCCACAGCCCGCAAATGAAAACAGGACGAGTTTCCAGAGTTTGCTGTTAGGAGCTTGAACTAACTCTACACGCAAAGTCATATTACATGTTACTGTGAATTACCCAGCAAGCCCTCTATTTTCCTCATAATGGAAGTAAACTACGCAATGAAGAGAAGCTACAGACCCTCATAGATAAAAGAGGGGACAGGCGGGGGTCGCATCCCTGGGAGCTGGGCAGTTTCTGCCAGGAAGCCCCACTCCTGGCAGCAGAGGGACCGAGAGAGTGGCCACCGCTTACAGGGACAGCCTTGACTGTCTGGAATTCGAGCATGGCCCTGGCTAAGCTTGGCCTTTTCTTTGATTTCAGAAAGGGGCTGCAGCTATGCCTGGCTTTGCCAAGGAGTGAGCTCTATAACTTTTTATTTCTTAAAAATCTCACTTGAGGTAACTACGAAGTAGTATTTGCATAGACCAAATTTTAAAATGAAAAATTATTATAAAGTATATATGAAATAAAATCTGAATAGTCCAAATGTTTTAATAAATGCCCTAACGATACAGATGTTTGCATGCTATAGGCTCTCCAAGTCCCAGCGGATGGCTCACTTACGTGGAGCAGATTTAACACAATCCAGGTTATCTGCTGGGGTTTGCTGGGATGGGCTTGGCCTGTATCCAAATGGCTGCTATCACACGCCGTAGGATTTCAGGCCATAGTTTTGAAGGTGTTTTTTTTTTTTTTAATGATCCTTCCATATCTCCAAGGACAAGATGCTATTACAAGAGTTTAACCATACTTGCCTTTAATTCCCAACATATAAAAGGTGCCACCAGTCTAAACAGCGTTAGAAAAGTGCAATTTTAAACAATTACAAACTTTAAAAAAAAACTGATTAGAAAATGGTTATTCACATTGCAAAACTCTAATTGGTAAAAGAATTTGTCATAAGATTTCTTAAATAGCAGCTTCATTTCTGTATTGAAATGTTGGTTTTCAGGTG